ATATTTTGTTATAATATGCCATTATTTCAACAAATCGCATTTTGAATATGCTAAACCTAAGCATTTGGGGAATAAATGAAACTTTTAAAAGTAGATTTTGCTTTTCCTTATGGGCTTTCTGGGCTAAATCTTTGAAAATCAGCTGACATCTGTTGTAAATTTATGTTATATATTTATGGTCTCTAACACCATATACAACTTTATACAATTCAATAAATACAAAAATGAATTATATAATACTGTTGTTGCCCCCCCCCCGCTTATTGTAGGGGATACATTCCAAGACCCCCAGTGGATGCCTGAAACCACAGATTACACAAAACGCCATATATACTCATGATTTTTCCTATACATACACACTTCTGACAATATTGAATTTATAAATTAGGTACAGTAAGAGAGTAACAACTAATAATAGAACAGTTAGGGTGCCTAGGTGGCTCAGTGGGTTAAAGCCTCTGCCTTCGGCTCAGGTCATGATCTCAGGGTCCTGGGATCCAGCCCCTCATCGGGCTCTCTGCTCAACAGGGAGCCTGCTTCCCCCTCTCTCTCTGCCTGCCTCTCTGCCTACTTGTGATCTCTGTCAAATAAATAAATGAGATCTTAAAAAAATAATAGAACAATTATAATAATATACTGTAAAGAATTTATGTGACTGTGGTGTCTCTCTCACAATGTCTTACTGTACTGCGCTCACCCTCCTTTTGTGATGATGTGAGAAAATAAAATCCTGTGTGATAAGATGAAGTGAGGCACATGACGGGGACATGGTGATGTAGTGTTAGGCTGCTATTGACCTACTGACTAGATATCAGGAGGAGACTCCTCGGCTTTTGGATTGTGGTTTCCTGCAAGTAACTGAAACCATGAGAAGCAAAACTATAGATGGGGGTACTACTGTATATATATTATGTAGTGATATACAATATATCTAAAAACAATTTGATTTATAAAAGAGAAAGTTTCAAATCTTTAGTGTTACATATTGGATGTAATGAAAAAATAAATGCTAAATAATTGACATAATATACTATTTGAAGAAGATGAGATTTTTTTTTTCATGAGTAGGGAGAGGAGTCTTTGAATAAATATCATCAAATATTATCAATATTTATAAAACATTTTGTGGCTTAAAATTTTTTTGAATTATTCTATGGATAGCCTTCTGTTGTATATGAGGCAGGCATTATTGTTTTTTATTCATTTTAGAGATATGGAAAAGGATCAGAATATTTAAATGGCTTTCTCAAAGTAAGAAAATGGCAGAGCTATAATTTGAACCCTGTTTCTGTTGCATCTCACTAAATGGATTATGTGTATATATAATGACATACCTAAATTTATACATGTTTATATTCATGTGTCAGTAATATAGGTCAATTTTATGTTATTCATAATCACATATCTAATTTTGTGTATGTCCATAGAAATGAATATATTAGTGGTTATTTCGATTTTAAGCAAAATCACTCATATTTTTAAAGATACAAATGTATACTTACTCCTACATTTTTCCATCTACCCATCAAACTTCTGTTTGATATCTGAAAATATGTTTACATCTGATACACATTGGGATAAGGAGGTATTTAAAAGATTACAGGTAATAAAAATACCTTTAGATTTTTGAAAGCCAAATAAACATAGAACCTTAGTGTTCAAACCTGGCATTTTACTCACTTTGTTTTCAGAGCTAAAGGGATTCAGCAGTTAAAATTCCATGAAAATTTATGAGGAGGAGCCAAGACAGAGAAAATAGTGTTTATATATAAACCACCCTTGACTTGACAAAGCTTTTGCTAAAAGTTCAATGTAGAAGATTCATCCATAGATTCGAGGGCAAAAAATTTAAGAAAAAAACCAACTGGGCAGACATTTACCAGAAGGCATGTGGGCATTAAGTAGAAAGGAGCTGCTGGGTGTGGATGAGGCAGAGTGGGTCTCCCGGATTAGCTGCTTTCTAATACGGATCCAGTGGAAGGACAGGGCAAAGAGGAAAGAAAGTCAATGATACCAAACCATAAACGCTAAGTCCTAAACTCACAAAAGGCAAAGGTACTTTTTTTTTTCCCTCCAAAAGAACCTTGATATCTGAGGAGTAAAGTAAAAAAAGACTTACAGCAATTCCTTAATGTCTCAAACCCATGACCAACGTACTTTCGTCTCACCACATCTCTAGGATTCCAAAGCTATTCATTGTAAGCCAAAGGAACAATTTAGTAAGGTTTTTTTTTTAGGAAAACACCATATTAAATGCACACAATGAATCTAGGACATAGTCTGATTGCAGAAATGTGCAAATAGATGTGTGTTGAGGGGTGGTTGAACATCTTAAAATCAAGGAAATATTTGATTTGAACCACTTAGGTTAAGAAAAAGATGTATTTAGTGAATAGTACTCAAACGATAACAAGGTTTAACAGAAAGCAGACTTTCAGTGAGGTACAATTAAACAAACAGTTAAATAATCTCATATACAAGTGCTTAAACAAGCAAACAATCATAGACTGTCTTGATCACCACTCCATGCACAGAGCATGAGTCGGAAGAAATTATTTCAGCATCATTGAAGGGAAAAGCCATATTGTGCTCAATTCTGGTTGACTTATTGCAAATAAGGATATCAGAGAAAATGAGAGGTTTATGGCAGAAGGTAGATAAAGTTATTCAGTGACTCAAGGAAATTAATTACAGAGGAAAAGCTCAAAAACTAGGTGCGTCTGTGATGACCTCATTGAGGGAAGCAAGGATGACAGGTGTTGCAAGGGTGGATACCCTGAAGGGATCTACAATTATAACAACTAAAAAGGGAAGTATAAAATCCCCAAGAGAGGCAAGCATGAGCAGAATTTCATTGATATCTCTCATCCACCCCTTAATATTAGTTAGTATTGAAAAGAAAGAGTTCTGAGAAGTGATTAAGAGGAATACAAACAGGCCAAATATGGACCTGATTAAGAATTCAGAGGGAGGAAAATCAACTCTTATGAAGGTACATCTTTTATAATTTTACTTTTTCTGGAATTTTGCTGACCCCCAGTGAATACTTAAAGAGAAAAAATATACCCCTATCTTGTCTGGAACTGGTATGTGAATTCAAGCTCTAAGTTTTAGTATCAGGCAAGGCTTTTTTCTTTGTTTATTCTTGTGATTAAAATATTACATGAAATGAAACCTAGTAGTGTGTTATAACTACTGTTCAGATGCCACATTTCAGTTATTATATGCCATACTTTATGACTCTCAGAAACCTTTGAGATTAGACCCGTGTGAGATCCTCTGGCGTCTGCTCCATCTCCCACTTAACTTGTTTGTATCTGATCACAGTGATTTGAGCTCTCGGTGGGAGAGAACAGAAGGGAAAAAGTGCTCAAACTTCATAAACACAGAATACAGATTAATAGCTAAAGTAAATGTTCGTTTGACATAAAATGTTGATCAGGATTTCTCTTCAGAATATTTCTGCACTAGCCGTGGCATTCAAGACACATATTTGGATTCTATTAAAAAGAACCCTCAAGAAAGCCCAGAATTTACTTAGGAAAAAACGAGCAAAATGTGAAATGCCCTTAAGCTTCACCATTCTATAATTGCAAGTAAGGTCATATTAACAGTAATGGCCAAGATCCTTGCAGTTTGAATGGCTTTTCTTAGAACAATATTACATCCAGAAACCTTAATGAGAGAAATGCATATTCTGTTTCCTAAAAATTTTAAACTTCTGTATAACTGAAGGTGATATTAACTGAGTTGAGAGGAGAAAATTCCAAAATACAGGTTTAAGCCTATATAAATGTTATCTTAATAGAAAAGGCTAATATCTTAATATATAGAAGCTCTTGCAAATCAAAAAAGATTGATAATTGTGGGAGAAAATGGACAAGTAATAGATATAAAACAGATGCTCAACTACTAATCAAAGCAATGTAAAATGAAATTACAAAATAATATGTTTTCCCTCTCATAAAATGAATTGTTATTAATCTGAACTGAGCAGGGTGTGGGGGGAATGACAAATTCTCTTAGATGAGAAATGAGATTTTAAATTGGAACATTTTTAGAGGGTGATTTAATAAGATAAATAAAAAATTTAAATGTATAAATTTTGCCTCAGCAATTCTACTCTTAGGAATATATTCCAATGAAATAACTAGACAAGTACACAAAATTTATGTCTATATATGTGGAAATTTTATAATAAGTAAATAATACAGATAGATTGAAAATAACCTTAATGTTTATCGGTCAAGTTTGGTTGAATAAAGAATGGTAGAATTATAAAATGGAATATGGCAAAGCCTTCAAAAGGATAAAGTGACTATTATGTGGAGTTTTCACTGAATGCAAGCATGGTTGGACACTAGCAGAGTGAATAATAAAACTTTCATATTAATGTATGAAAAGATCATATATCTATAAATGTTCGTTACAGATTGAATAATGCCCCCGGCAAAGGAGATTCAGGCAATGTGACCATGGAGGCAGGGATTAGAAAGACACAGCCAGGATAGGATTGTCTTGTAATTCCACAGAGAAGCAAACTGAGCCTCAGAGAGGCCATATAATTTCCCAAGGTCTTATAGAGTCTAATAACTGACAGAACTTGGATTCCAACCAGGTGATCTGACTTCAGAATGTCCTTGTTCATGGGCACAGGATAGTATGAGTTCAAGCTTCAACTGACTATCTTCTCTTTATTGAGCATCTATCTATGTATGTGTCATATAACAAGCAAGCCCTGCCCTTGGGAAAGGTAATCATTTCTTGGATATGTTATATATATTAACATATAATATATTTTAAAAAAGAAAGAGCTTTTCTTTTTAATTACTATATAGCTTTATTTATTTATTTATTTATTTATTTATTTTGAAAACTTACTTATGCCAGATGTTATGTTAGATGCTGGAATGTAGCAATGAACAAGAAAGGGAGGTCTCTGTATCTCTGGAGCTTAGAGGAGGAGATAGACACTGAGTCCCTAAATAACCTCAGCCAAGCAAAGAGATGAAGTAAAAACATTCCAGGAAGTAGGAATAGCATGGGCATTAGGCAGGAAAGGTATGCATTTATCCAGCAAATCCCTGTAGATCACAAGGTTGTCTCCCTGAAGAGGAAATAGAGAAAGCATTGAGTTCCCAGAAGGATTTAACAAAATCCCACAAGTTCTTACTCATCATATCCCATTTTAATGATTAGCTTCATGAGGTCAATCTCTTAAGATAGAGGACTACAAAATATTCCTTTGTTACAACACTATAGTTTGTCATCATGAGATTATTTTAATTAAAGTACTTGAATAAATCTTAATTGTTAAGTATTTAAAGTATTTGATTCAAATCAAATCAGAGAAATCAGCTTTCCCTAATATTCTTACAATACACACACACATTCACATACTCACAGTGATACATTCTCACACCCATACATACGCAGTAACATACCCTTACACACATGCTCACAGGCATTCCCCCATACACACTCACATACTCTCATGCATATTCATATGCAGTAGAGCACACAAAATCACACAAACACACACATGCTTACATACTCATCTCTACATAAACCCACACATTCTAAGGGAGGGTGCTCAACTCATTTATTCAATATTTTATCAAATACTTATTGATCATCTGCCAAGTGCCTAGAGATGAAAAAAAAAAAAAAAACCAGGATTCATCTCTGCCCTCATGGGGCTGTACCTTTGCTCCTAATGGGAGGTACAGAGACTTAGTAAAACAGCAGAAAATGCAGATTATAATTCCAGGTTGTGATGAGCAGCATTGAGAAAATAAGTCAGGTGATGAGAGAAGAGTTGCTGGAAGGTAGATGATTTAGGGCAGATGAAGAAGGCTTCCCTGGAAGAGGACGTTTGAACTGAGGCCTAATGACAAGAATGAGCCAATCATTCAGAGAAAGGGAGAAAGAACAGTGCAGACTGAGAGAAGAGCAAGTGCCTGGAGAACGGGCTTGGTGTAGACAAGAAACCAGAATGTGGTTGTATAGCTGAACTTCTATGAGCAAAGTGATGGTAAAATAAGAGCTAGGAAGGGACACAGAAGTTAAATTAAGCCAGCCCCTATAAACCATGGAGCTGAATTGGGATTTATTCTAAGAACAGACAGAAATAACAGATAGTATATATATGTATATGCCCCCACTTGAAAGGATTTGTAGTTTTATAAGTCCTTTCTGGCTACAATTTGAGGAATGGACTAGACAGGACAAGGGTAGAAGCTAGGGACCCATGGGGAAGTGGATGCAGTTGGCCGGGAGGGAGTGATGATAGTGGTATGGGCATGATTGGTCACAGTGGAACTGAGGAGAAGGTCATGGATTTAGGATGTACGTTGGAAGTAAGAAAGACAGGATTTTGTAACAGCTTTGATGAGGTAATGAGATAGGGTAGGGTTAAGGATGCCTTCCAGGTGTTCTGCTTGAGCATCTGAGGACACTGTGGTAGCTGGCCTTTTTTTAATCACTGTCTGTGTCACAGTAGTGGCTTCTATTTATCCAGTGCTTACTGTGTGCCAAGTATGTGCTTTGTATGTATTAACTCATTTATTCTTTACATCCCTGTAAAGTAGGCCCTATTATTATCTCTGCTTAGAAATGAGGAAAGTAAGGCTCAATGAGGTTTGCTTCCTCAGTTCCAAGGATTCATATGTAAGTGAACCAGAATTTCAATGCAAAAACTCTGAACCCAGAGTCACCTCAGTGAGACATTGAGTAACCATTATTTCAGAAGCCCATCACTTCACATTTGAATTACCAAGATCTTTATTACTAGTTTCTCTTTTGTCCTCAAGTTGACTCAAATGGTGATCAGTTCACTATAATTTGTAACCTCACCGTAGACTTGGAAGAACAAGTAAAGTGCTGACCATTCATTTTTCTATTTGTGCTGTAAAAAGATAGTACCGGTGGATTAGAATTATAAATGGAAATAGAGTTTGAGGGTTATATTTGGATTATATTTTGTCTCTAATATAAGCAAGAGATTTAGTCATATAAAACTGTAACTATATCAAATAAATAATTTCAGAGATGAGTGCTTTGCAAATAATTTTTCCCCTATTACTAATTAGGGTTCGGGGCACATTGTTGGCATGAAACAGAACCTATTGTTAAATATGACATTACTGGGGTGCCTGGGTGGCTCAGTGGGTTAAGCCGCTGCCTACAGCTCAGGTCATGATCTCAAGGTCCTGGGATCAAGCCCCACATCAGGTTCCTAGCTCAGCAGGGAGCCTGCTTCTCCCCCTCCCCACTGCCTCTCTGCCTACTTACGATCTCTCTCTCTCTGTCAGATAAATAAATAAAATCTTAAAAAAAAAAATTTGACATCACTCCTGCTTAATTGGATTGTTCTTTTTCCGGTACTTCAAGGACTGTCTCCTTCCCCATTCAGCAATGCGTATATCCTTGACTCATGATCCTCCTTTCTTCACACTTACTCCTGATATCATCGGCTTTTGTGACTTCAGTTCTCACCATCTGGCCATTCCTGACCCTCAGTGCCATTGACCTCTTTCAGAGCTCTGTGTAGCATTTCTTGTCTACTGGCTCCAGGCAGGAGGGAGAGAAAAGGAAGAATGAACTCTAGAAGGCAGAGTGGTGAGAGGTGGTGAAGATGATGATGATAATGACAATAATGATTTCTAGGTGTAAGGGGAGACAAGCTAGATTCAAGGTCCTATTTAAGACATTTAAGGAAAATCTTATTTGTACTATCCATGGGGACCCTGTGAGTTTGGAGACAAATCTACACTCAGATCCTGAACACTGAACAGTTATTGTTTATAGAGGGCATCCACTGTTCTGTGCTCAAGTGAATATATGTAATTACACAAACATTACATAGGGACAGTAATCCCTATATCCCTTACTCTAAATATAAGTCCCATCCCTTGTATATAGGGATAATAAGCATAATCCAACCAGGGACAGTCCTGGGAAGCCAGAGAAGTCACGGAGGTTGCTTGGCTGGATGGTGTATAGGATATATACAGGATGGTATATAGGATATAGGTACTGTTCAGATTTCTAGACAAAGTAAGCTTAGGTGCTAATCTCACCTAGAGGGACGAATGTATTCTTTACACTATGTCTGACCCTCCCAACTCCCACCTCTGTACTAGGATGTCTCACTTAGCGAATAAAAAAGGCAGCAGAAACAGGAGGTGAAAATACAGAGGGAGGTAGAAACAGGAGAGAGAGAGAGAGAGAGAGGAGGTGAAAAACACAGATCAATTAATCCTCCCATTTTTTTTAAATCAGAGAAAACCTTGGCATTCAGTGATGATGAATCAATGCTGCTGACAGATACATCATGTTAGGATCTCAACAATCTAATTCTTCCATCAACAGAAAAGGCAGGTAATTACCACATTATCAAAAGGCTTAACAAATACAGGAGGGAATGCCACACAAGGACTAGTGCTGTATTACCTGACTCATCCTGTTAAAGACTTAGCACCATGTTCTAAACTGATCAGCACTCCTGGAGAGAGGGTAGCAGAGTAGGTTAAAATCTCTTCTTAGGAGAGAAATGTCTTTTGATTAGAAAAACCAAAAATATTGAAGGATCATTTCAATTGTGGAAAGACAGGCCTTAGGACATGGCCAGTTGTGAGATAAGGATAAATAAAGAAAGGATTACATTGTTCCTCATAATGAAATGGGAACAACTTTTAATTTTCAGGGACATGAGAGAGGGACAGCTCATCTCTTGGCCATTCCAGAGATGAAAGGAGAAGGAGGAAGATAATGTTCAAGGAAAAGTCACAAAATGACTAATTCTCAATAGCAAAAATAGCCAAAGGACTTTCAAGAACATCAGTGTCTAATATTAATCTTTTATCTGTTGTACTATTACTCAGGGTAACTACTCACCAGTTCAACAATAAAAGTCTATTGCACATAACTATCTTTGGTAACTTCTTTGTTTGGATTGTGTTTTGGAGAATTTAGAAGGGAGTTCTGATCTCTGTTGAGCCAACTAAAGACAGAGAGCTTCCGCAAGAGGTCAGAGATAAATGAGTTAAAAATTCAGCAAAAGCCAAAAACTAGATGTGACTGTAAGAAATATATTTCAGAGGAGTCTCAAAGAGACTTGTTGTGGTACACACTGAATTTCCCACGATGGGGAGATGGAATTTAACATTTAAAATTGTAAAGCTAGGGATGCCTGGGTGGCTCAGTCAGTTAAGCTCTGACTCTTGATTTCAGCTCAGGTCCTGATCGCAGGACCCTGATTTCAGGTCCTACGTTGTGCTCAGCACTGCTTGGGATTCTCTCTCTTCCTTTCCCTCAGACTCTCCCCACTCCCTCCCTCCCTCTTTTAAAAAAGCAAAACAAAACAAAACAAAACAAAACAACAAAAACAACAAAAATCTTGTAAGGCTAGAAGACTGAAGCTTACATCTGAGTTAATATTGCAAACATCAAAAATTTGTTTAATCTGTCCCATTGTTTAGAATAGCTTGAAAGGGAAAAAAATTAAATACCCAACAATAGATGATTAGGAAAAAATGATAATGCATCCGCTAGGTGAAAAATTATGTAGTCAATAAAATAATATTTACAAAGGATTTAAAATAAAATGATAAAAGGCTTTGGTATGTTGTTTAAGATGAAAATAAATGATATTAATCGTGTATGAGGTATGATTGGAACTCTGTGTTACCTGAATTCATCCTAGGAATACAGAGATGACTTGATTCTAAGAAACTTATTATGTACTTTCACCAGTTAATACATCAAAGGAAGAAAATGCATTTATTTCCATAGATACTAAAAATACAACATCCATTATTTTTATAATTCATTAACATAATAATAGATGTTTAACATGATTTTCTACCTAAGGCCAAAGCCAGGATTTTGCTAAATATTGGATAACTAGATACATTCCTGTTAAAGTCTAGGAACAATTTAATATTATTCCAACTGTACTAACTAGCCAGTATAATAGGCTAGAAAAATAGCAAATATATATAACCTAGTTATATGTCAGTAAAGAACTAATAAGTAAATGATAGAACACACAGTAGAATACCAGGGGCCATCGGCAAATAAAAGACTAATATATTGTTAAAATAAAAGTGAAAAGGTATAGAGCTTACAAAACATTGTATGTAGAATGCCTCTATTTGTATAAGGGAAAAAGCAAGTTTGTATATACACAGACTGTATAGGAAAGGAGAAGATTTGAAACAGAATAGTAAGGAGAGGAGTAAGAATCTAGAAGTCTGGGATGGGAAGGAAATTTTCATATAAATCCTTTTTTTCTATTTGGATTTTTGATTTGTAAGTATTACTTTTCTATTTAAAAAAAAAAAAAACTTCATAGGGGCACCTGGGTGGCTCAGTCCTTAAGTGTCTGCCTTCTGCTCCGGTCATGATCTCAGGGTCCTGGAATCGAGCTCCACAGTGGGCTCCCTGGCTCAGCAGGAAGGCTGGTTCTCCCTCTCCCACCCACTCCTTCTGCTTGTGTTCCCTTTCTCACTGTGTCTTTCTCTGTCAAATAATAAATAAAATCTTTAAAAAAAAACAAAAAAGAAGAAGAAGAAAACTTCATAAATCAAAAAATAGCAGGAAACTAAGCATCCAATTATAGAAAATTTTTTAAATAAACTATGGTAAATGTACTTTATGGGGTTTAAGGCAGCCATTAAAAATTGCATGTGTAAAAATAAAAGTAAATGAGAAAATATAGTATATTGCTTAATAAATATTTGTTGAATGAATGAAATGATGAATCCCAAATGGGAAGAGATAGCATAAAAATTGTGGATACTGAATATCATAATTATATAATACAACCCACATATACATAGATATATCCAGAGAGAGAGAAAGTAATGTGAGAAGAAAGAAAAATATAGTAGTGGTATCTTCTGCTTGGATGGTATTATAATATAAAATGAAAACAATTCCTTCTATTTTTCTGAGTTTCAGAAATTTATGTAATAAATGTGCATTGTTTTCAAATGAAAAAGTTTGTTTTAATATAGGAAGCAAGATGCTTTATCTGCCTTTCTGACGAAATATGAATAATAGCAAATAAATTACTCCCCAAAGGTGGTTCATGCAGACCCTGCAGTGCGGACACAATTTCCTTAATGTTCACCTTAAACACTACTGTTGATTTTGAGTTTTACTTGCAAAATAAACAGTGAGCCAAAAGAAAACACTGATACAATTGAACTTGATCTGATTTCTTCTAAAAGCAGAGACTTGCCTAAGGCAAAATTCTTTAGGAAAACATTGCAACCGCTAAAAGGTTGTAAGCTTGTACTTAAACCAGGTGAATTTTCATTCATAAAATTACTTCCTGCTCCTATTATGGCATTGTAAAAAAAAATTAGAAACTGCTGCTTTTGGACTTTAAATTTAGTTTGTATATACTTTGTAGGAAATAAGTGTGTGAAAAATGTCTAAAGCACTCAGTTGTTGTTCGTTAATGGTGATATTTTAGTGAAGCTATTTGAAGTCAATTGGAATCGTTATTGGAAATCCAGACTTAGTAAAGTAAGGGATTTTGTTGTCTCTCTAGCAGCTATTTAGACGTTCTTAAAGACCAAACTATCGGTCTATGGTATATAAATTTGTTGTCAGTTTCAGTGTTTACTAGTAATTGATAAATGTTACCTCATATACCAAATCTCCTATTCTACTCAAACCCTTTGCCCATTTAAACATTCTTTTTTTTTTTTTAAGATTTTATTTATTTATTTGACAGACAGAAATCACAAGTAGGCAGAGAGGCAGATGTGGGAGGGGGAAGCAGGCTCCCCGCTGAGCAGAGAGCCCAATGCAGGACTCGATCCCAGGACCCTGAGATCATGACCTGAGCCGAAGGCAGAGGCTTTAACCCACTGAGCCACCCACTGAGCCACCCAGGCGCCCCCAACTTAAACATTCTTTACAAGAGTGGTGCTCATCTCTTTACAAGACAGTGAGCTAATTTTTCTTTTGCTAATTTTCAAAAAACAATATATTTTCTCCCCTGCTTTTCAATTATTATGTTTTTTAAAAATGTTTCTAAAATTTTGAGAAGAGAAATAAAGCAAAAGCTCAGTGGCTTCTTATTCCCTCTCATGTTAACTATTTATATATCTTTCAATAACCTCAGTAATAACCCTCAGTGACCTCAATAACCTCAATAATCTATGTCTCCCCCCCCAAAATACCTATTTCCTAAGCAACATACCTGTGTCTCTGGACAGAATACCACAGCATACCACTTCAGTTCACTTCATGTCTTTGCTCATTATGTTCTTCCCATTGTCTTGTCTTCTATTCCTGGCCTGAATTGTTCTGGTTCAGGCACTCAAGAAGTGGCAAACTGTCAGCTGCTGCTGCTGTCATCTCAAGACTTGACTGGTATTAAAGAATCTTCTTCTAAGCTCACTCACATGGTTGTTGTCTGTTAGCCAAGACCTCTGTTTCTCCCTACATGTGCTTCTCCATAAGCTGTCACTACTGGCTTCCTCCAGACTTATTAATGAGAGAGAAGGAAAACAAGATAAAAGCCACAGGATGTGAACCAGGAGTGGGGATTATTGGGAGGCATCTTGGAATCTGGCTACCCTCAGAACCACCACACTTAGAAACCCAGAAAAAGTTCCAGCTTCTCCTAGAAGCTTTCTTTAATCACTACTCTTCTATGATTTCCTTCTTCACAAAACACCTTTAGAAGAAGTTCTCTGCCATACTTGGCTCTTATAATGTCATTTTTGAAATTTTTTGTGTTTCATTTTAAGTATTTCTTCTCAGTGCAATGTAAACTCCTGAAGTATAGTAAGTAAGACTCAATGTGTTTGATAATTCCTATTTCAATTTTAGTGATACTGGGATTAGTAAATATTGGGATGAGTCTGTTTGAGGGCCTGAGGAGCTTTTAAAAAATACTGATGCTTAGGTGATATCCCCAGGTGGACACTGGTATTCATTTAAATGCTCCTCAGGCGATTCCAGTGAGCAACCAGTAGCTTAGAATATTTCCTACCTTAGTTGTAAAATTAAGAGGAACCTAATTTGAATTATTTTTGGTTGTTGTTCATTATCCTATAATTCCACCAAATGAAATATTTGCCATTTTTTTAACATTTGCTATTTTTGACACAGTTCTCTTACTTAAAAATATTGGGAGAAGATCAAGTAGCCATAACTACATTAGTGAATCTAGTTTTTTCACATATATAGTTTTTATTTCATACTCTGTCCAAAATAGGAATATATATAATTGCTTTTCTAAAATGTGCAAGTATCATGTCATCTAATAAAAAAATTAAATTATGAAATATAATAAAAAATTGCCCAAGAGTCATGACAATCAACTGAAATGGTTACAAATGCAGATCATAAAAGTATTTCCAATAGATAAAATTTATAGTTTGGATATTGTTTTCAATCCAGCCATTAAAAATCTGTCAGGAAAGGAAGTGTCTGTTTCGCTTGAGTCCTTAAATCTTTTCCCTTCTTTTACATTGTCCCTGAAGCTTTTGAATTCTCTACCAGTTCTATTTCCAAAGGTTTCCAACTACCCCCCCCACCAATACCACCCCAAATCCCAAACACAATCCACAATCCCATAAAGGGTGGAGGGAAGAAAAAAAAAAAAAAAAAAAAAAGCCTTTCTGATACAAAGGAGTTTTTCAAAGACATGACTTCTGTGACTTGAGATGTCACAAGGAAAAGATTCTTCTTTCTGGTTAGAAAAATCAACTGTTTTCAATTGCTTATATAATGGTATTAGCCTTAGTTCTTTTGCCACTCTAATTCCCATCCTCTAATTTGAAGAAATAAGTAGTGAACTCATTTACCTCTTAGAATGAGATGCTTCTGTGGTAGCAGAAGCTCTTTTGAAAAGGTTAACTAATTCAAATCCAGAAGCTGAAGTTTAGGACAATGATTCTCAAATGTGGTGTATATCCTTTACATTTTTTTTGTAAAGCACTTATCTGGGACCTATACCAGACCTAATCAGCATCTTACAATATAAAATTTGCACTGATGAGCACTGAAAGAAGCAAAGACAGAGTTAAGCTTTGCTCAACATCTTGGCACACAGGGATATTTCTGAAATCCATCACCCAGCATGAATAGATCAGACTAACAAAAAGTATATGACTGTTGAAAGTAAAAGAAGGAAAGGTAAGATTGCAACATTTGAAGACAAAATAGAAATTATGATTATTTCTGCTGTTCCAAATTAATAGATGAAACAATGCAGAATTATAGAGGGTTTATAATAGTTTATAATAATAGACCAACACAGAACTGACCCAGAATCTTTTATCCTACCATCACATAAAAAAAGAAATCAGATCCCCATGCTAAAAAGCTTAAAAGCCAAATTTTACCCCATAAGTGAAAATGAACAGGACTTAACATATACTTTATATCCTAACCTTACTGCTGGCCTCATGTCAAGTTGTGTTGGAATTTCCTCTCATTTTCAGCAACATTCTGTTGGTTGAAAGTTATAGAGAACTTAATTTTTTTTAAAAGAACTTTATATGCTTCCTCTAAAATCACATTTTAGCAATTTCATTCTTTTTCTTCCCACTGAAATTATAAAATAGAATATACAGTAAGTTATTTACATAATTGTCCAAACATTGTTGCAAAAGTTGGCAATGAAGTCAAAATAAAACTATAACCCGAAAACAGTTCCAGAAAGCAAGTACTTTAATTGCTCATTCACCTGTTGAATGAAAATCTGAGTTGAGCAGTAGAGTTCTAGGAGTAGTGATATAAAAATATAGAAAAGTACATACTGTAAATCTGTACCCTAAAGATAGTTGAAGTATAACTTGTTTCCATAAAAAATAGCTACCATGTTACTTAAATTCATTTATTATGTATTAAACATTTGACTGGGTAAGAAAACTTAAAGGAAATGATTGTGACTTAAATAGTTAGAAGTCGGAGGAGTCAAGATGGTGGCGAAGTAGCAGGCTGAGACTACTTCAGGTAGCGGAAGATCAGCTAGATAGCTTATCTAAAGATTGCAAACACCTACAAATCCAACGGGAGATCAAAGAGAAGAACAGCAATTCTAGAAACAGAAAATCAACCACTTTCTGAAAGGTAGGACTGGCGGAGAAGTGAATCCAAAGTGACGGGAAGATAGACTGCGGGGGGAGGGGCTGGCTGTTAAAAGCCTGTTCTGCTGAGGGACATCGCTCCAGAGGCTTAACCGGGGTGAAGCCCATGCGGGGTCAGCGTGGCCTCAGGTCCCTCAGGATCACAGAAGGATCAGGGGTGTCTGAGTGTCGCAGAGCTTACAGGTATTAGAACGGGGAAGCCAGCTACAGAGACAGAGCCGAGGAGTGAGCTCACAGCTCGGGGTTACCTTGAACTGGTCGCAGGCTCTGTCAGCTCGGAGCGCGGCCGGAGGCCAGGATGACGGGAGTAATTGGGTGCTGTTCTCTGAGGGTGCACTGAGGAGTGGGGCCCCGGGCTCTCGGCTTCTCCGGGCCGGACACTGGGAGGCTGCCATCTTCATTCCCGTCCTCTGGAACTGTACGGAAAGCGCTCAGGGAACAAAAGCTTCAGAGCAAACCCGAGCGGAATACTCAGACCGACCCCGGGTAAGGGCGGTGCAACTCCGACGGGGGCAAAGACACTTGAGAATCACTACAACAGGCCCCTCCCCCAGAAGATCAACAAGAAACCCAGCCAGGACCAAGTTCACCTACCAAGGAGTGCAGTTTCAATACCAAGGAGAGCAGCGGAATTCCAGAGGAGGAGAAAGCAAAGCACGGAACTCATGGCTTTCTCCCCATGATTCTTTAGCCTTGCAGTTAATTTAATTTTTTTTCTTTTTCAATTTTTTTCTCTTCTTCTGCTAAATTTTTTTAACTTTTACCCTTTTCTTTTGTAACGTTTTTTAACTAGTTTATCTAATATATATATATATATTTTTTTTCCTTTTTATATTTTTTCTTTATTCGTTTTCTTCTTTTAATTGTTTCATTTTTTTTTTTTCTTTCTGAACCACTTTTTAGCCCCCTTCTCCCCCCTCACGATTTGGGATCTCTTCTGATTTGGCTAAAGCATATTTTCCTGGGGTTGTTGCCACCCTTTTAGTATTTTACTTGCTCCTTCATATACTCTTACCTGGACAAAATGACAAGGCGGAAAAATTCACCACAAAAAAAAGAACAAGAGGCAGTACCAAAGGCTAGGGACCTAATCAATACAGACATTGGTAATATGTCAGATCTAGAGTTCAGAATGACGATTCTCAACATTCTAGCCAGGCTTGAAAAAGGCATGGAAGATATTAGAGAAACCCTCTCTGGAGAGATAACAGCCATTTCTGGAGAAATAAAAGAACTAAAATCTAACCAAGTTGAAATAAAAAAAGCTATTAATGAGGTGCAATAAAAAATGGAGGCTCTCACTGCTAGGAAAATGAGGCAGAAGAAAGAATTAGTGATATAGAAGACCAAATGAGAGAATAAAGAAGCTGAGCAAAAGAGGGACAAACAGCTACTGGACCACGAGGGGAGAACTTGAGAGCTAAGTGACACCATAAGATGAAACAACATTAGAATAATTGGGATTCCAGAAGAAGAAGAGAGAGAGAGCGGAGCAGAAGGTATATTGGAGAGAATTATTGGAGAGAATTACCCAATATGGCAAAGGGAACAAGCATCAAAATCCAGGAGGTTCAGAGAACCCCCCTCAAAATCAATAAGAATAGGTCCACACCCCATCACCTAATAGTAAAATTTACAAGTCTTAGTGACAAAGAGAAAATCCTAAAAGCAGCCCGGGAAAAGAAGTCTGTAACATACAATGGTAAAAATATTAGATTGGCAGCAGACTTATCCACAGAGACCTGGCAGGCCAGAAAGAGCTGGCATGGTATATTCAGAGTACTAAACGAGAAAAACATGCAGCCAAGAATACTATATCCAGCTAGGCTATCATTGAATATAGAAGGAGAGATTAAAAGCTTCCAGGACAAACAAAAACTGAAAGAATTTCAAAACACCAAACCAGCTCTACAGGAAGTATTGAAAGGGGTCCTCTAAGCAAAGAGAGACCCTAAAAGTAGTAGATCAGAAAGGAACAGAGACAATATACAATAACAGTCACCTTACAGGCAATACAATGGCACTAAATTCATATCTGTCAATAGTTACCCTGAATGTTAATGGGCTAAATGCCCCAATCAAAAGACACAGGGTATCAGAATGGATAAAAAAACAAAACCCATCTATATGTTGCCTACAAGAAACTCATTTTAAACCCGAAGACACGTCCAGATTTAAAGTGAGGGGGTGGAAAAGAATTTACCATGCTAATGGACATCAGAAGAAAGCAGGAGTGGCAATCTGTATATCAGATCAATTAGATTTTAAGCCAAAGACTATAATAAGAGATGAGGAAGGACACTACATCATACTCAAAGGATCTGTCCAACAAGAAGATCTAACAATTGTAAATATCTATGCCCCTAATGTGGGAGCAGCCAAATATATAAACCAATTAATAACAAAATCAAAGAAACACATCAACAATAATACAATAATAGTAGGGGACTTTAACACTCCCCTCACTGAAATGGACAGATCATCCAAGCAAAAGATCAACAAGGAAATAAAGGCCTTAAATGACACACTGGACCAGATGGATATCACAGATATATTCAGAACATTTCATCCCAAAGCAACAGAATACACATTCTTCTCTAGTGCACATGGAACATTCTCCAGAATAGATCACATCCTGGGTCCTAAATCAGGTCTCAACCAGTATCAAAAGATTGCGATCATTCCCTGCATATTTTCAGACCACAACGCTCTTATGCTAGAACTCAATCACAAGAGGAAATTTGGAAAGAACCCAAATACACGGAGACTAAACAGCATCCTTCTAAAGAATGAATGGGTCAACCAGGAAATTAAAGAAGAATTGAAAAAATTCATGGAAACAAATGATAATGAAAACACAACGGTTCAAAATCTGTGGGACACAGCAAAGGCAGTCCTGAGAGGAAAATATATAGCGGTACAAGCCTTTCTCAAGAAACAAGAAAGGTCTCAGGTACACAACCTAACCCTACACCTAAAGGAGCTGGAGAAAGAACAAAAGAAAGAAACCCTAAACCCAGCAGGAGAAGAGAAATCATAAAGATCAGAGCAGAAATCAATGAAATAGAAACCAAAAAAACAATAGAACAAATCAATGAAACTAGGAGCTGGTTCTTTGAAAGAATTAATAAGATTGATAAACCCCTGGCCAGACTTATCAAAAAGAAAAGAGAAAGGACCCAAATCAATAAAAGCATGAATGAAAGAGGAGAGATCACAACTAACACCAAAGAAATACAGACAATTATAAGGACATACTATGAGCAACTCTATGCCAACAAATTTGACAATCTGGAAGAAATGGATGCATTCCTAGAGACATATAAACTACCACAACTGAGCCAGGAAGAAATAGAAAGCCTGAACAGACCCATAACCAGTAAGGAGATTGAAACAGTCATCAAAAATCTCCAAACAAACAAAAGCCCAGGGCCAGATGGCTTCCCGGGGGAATTCTACCAAACACTTAAAGAACTAATTCCTATTCTCCTGAAACTGTTCCAAAAAATAGAAATGGAAGGAAAACTTCCAAACTCATTTTATGAGGCCAGCATCACCTTGATCCCAAAACCAGACAAGGATCCCATCAAAAAAGAGAACTACAGACCAATATCCTTGATGAACACAGATGCAAAAATTCTCACAAAATACTAGCCAATAGGATTCAACAGTACATTAAAAGGATTATTCACCACAACCAAGTGGGATTTATTCCAGGCCTGCAAGGTTGGTTCAACATCCGCAAATCAATCAATGTGATACAACACATTAATAAAAGAAGGAACAAGAACCATATGATACTCTCCATAGATGCTGAAAAAGCATTTGACAAAGTACAGCATCCCTTCCTGATCAAAACTCTTCAAAGTGTAGGGATAGAGGGCACATACCTCAATATGATCAAAGCCATCTATGAAAAACCCACCGCAAATATCATTCTCAATGGAGAAAAACTGAAAGCTTCTCCGCTAAGGTCAGGAACACGGCAGGGTTGTCCATTATCACCACTGCTATTCAACATAGTACTAGAAGTCCTAGCCTCAGCAATCAGACAACAAAAGGAAATTAAAGGCATCCAAATCAGCAAAGAAGTAGTCAAACTATCACTCTTCGCAGATGATATGATACTCTATGTGGAAAACCCAAAAGACTTCACTCCAAAACTGCTTGAACTTGTACAGGAATTCAGTAAAGTGTCAGGATATAAAATCAATGCACAGAAATCAGTCGCATTTCTCTACACCAACAACAAGACAGAAGCAAGAGAAATTAAGGAGTCAATCCCATTTACAGTTGCACCCAAAACTATAAGATACCTAGGAATAAACCTAACCAAAGAGGCTAAGAAT